CCTTCAAGCTATCCCCAGGGGTAATTTGTAATCGATTTCATCCTACCTCTCGGTAATCTGAACGCGATTTTAAGTTACCGTGAGGTAAGGTGAAGCAGGGGTAATCTGAAATTGCTACGCTGGGTGAGAAAATGGTTGCAGAAACCAGGTTTCGGGGGAAAAGTGCAATACCTATATGATAATATTTTGGTACTAAGGTGTTTTTAGTGACGTAGACCAGTGCAATACCCTAGAGCTTATGTACGCCTATATGTTCTTACTGGTTGATTAGAAGCACTGCCTCAGCTGTTAATATGGCTGCGCATTGATTAGTTTCAATATGAGGGCAAACTTAAAAATATGTTCCGGAATTATGAGATCAAGTTGCAACCCCAATATTGGACCCCCTCGGGAAAAGCGAAAGTTGACGCCTATGTATCTTTGAATAATATTTAAATCAGCATGATGCAAAAAATTTAAGTTACTGTAAATATGTAGCTTAAGAATTCTTATTAATATTCATATTAACGTGTTTGGAATACTAAGTTATTATTTTGTTGTACTAGTTAATTTTTTAAACAATATCATGTACTGTTGGTATTTAGGGTTCCTATATCGAAGTAAAATCTGTTGAGGTTAATTTACTTCGCTACTGAAGACATTTTTAGATAAAGGCATTCTCATGTCAAACTGGTAAATACGACGGATAATATATAGATGAAGCAAACTTATAAAGAAAAAAAAGGTTTAAATAATGAGCTCGAACGCCTTATCACGTGTAGTTGTTTGTTGATTATCGCACAAAGCTACCTCAGGGCTAGCCGCCTCTTATTTTGAAGTTATATACTAGTGATAGGGAAAGCAGCTAGTCAAAACCACTTACCAACAACTCGTGGGTTACTGTACTCGAATAATGGAATTTTACTGTCACTCTTATAACAACTCTTCTGTTAGTTTGATGTAATATATATATCACTCCTATATTGTGTTTGTGGGTTACCATAGTTAGCTTTGTTTTAAAAAAACACAGTACATTTCGGACTGTAAATAAGTCCATTTTATGTAATTTTCTAGTTCAATTAAATTTCTAAACTGCAACCATTATTTCAATAAACTTGATAAAACACGCTTGTATTTCCTTGGCTTGTAAAGTGTATTATGTTTCAGGTGGAAAGTGTGAAGAAAATTCAAGATAAGTTACGCTTCGTACAAGTATTGGTGAGACTGAATAAATATAACTTAAAAGAGTTTAAAGTAAATATATTTCTTATGTAATTCGTATTTGAGAAAAAACATAAGAATGTAATATACATGCTTACATAGCTTTGTTTCATGCTTCACTAAATAAATAAAGAATTCCAATGTGTATTTTGAGTTACCCTGGACTGGAAAAACTGTTTAGTGTGTAAACACTGAACATTTTATAGTAATAGTTATCACATTCGGTACACATTTTTACGGCGAACTATGATATTATTCAGAATTCTGTTAATTTTTATTTAGGTTAAATTTAAAAAAAAACTAAGATTTGCAGAAAGTTTTTGAAATGAATCAAATTATAAAAAACAACAACCTCGAATCAGTTTTTATTTACGACTTTAATTATAAAACAGCATTTAGAATCTAGGATCTCCAGCTGGTTCGTTCCCATTGTGCCAGACACTAAAACTAGTCAATTAAAATTATTCAAGTTCTATGAAATAAGTTATAACTACATTTAAAGTACAGGATAATTTTGAGAAAATGTTGTTTGTGAAGTCCAGTTACTCGGTAATAATTATTCTAATCAGGTAATTTTAAATGCTGCTGTGATGGACCTTCAGGCTATAAAAACATTATCTTCGCGTCTAAATGACTTAAGTCCTGGGTTTTGTGAGAGGTGGAATTCTTACTTGATTGTTGCATGTCAATAAACCGTGGTTTTCTTTCATCTTGACATTTGAGTTTAATTGAAAGGACGTTTTTTTTTTTTTTTTGCAGTGCAACTCTATGATGAAAATAAAAATGTCTAGCTATTTTTGGAACACTTCCGTATAACCAGCAATCCACTCAAAGCTTATGCAGTTCGTTACTCATGTATACGGACCTTACTAATTTTATATTATTCATGATTATTTTTGCCAAAACCTTTCGTGATACGTGACTTGCAATAACTGCATTTATCACCAATTCGAATTGTTCCGTTAAATTCTGTTGTTTACTAAACGTCTGGCACCTGTAGAAGGCTTAGGTAATTGAGCCAAAAGCTTGTTCATTAAAAAAAATAAGATAACGTGGTGATAGTCCAAATAAATTACTTAATACAAATATAAGTATTCATGTTAAAAGCCTGAAAAATTACTTAACAGCGTAGTATTTTTTGTTTTTTTTTGGATTTAACAAGCTTGCTTATTTTTTTGATACTATTTCTAATGTAAAAACTGGCAGAAGGAATTTGATTCAAAATAAACAAAACTACACAATCTATTGTGCTATCTGAAATACATTTTGTTAATTACAAATATGTCAAAGGCCAAAAGTTTCATTCAGACATATACATTATTCCATAGTTTAAACTCCGTGAGTAGTGTTGTATTTTTAGATCAACCTGATTTCCTGACAAGTTTTTCTGATAAAAATACCCTTGAATAACTGCAGGTTCGTCCCAGTGATTTAAGTGAACTTCCCGGGTGAGAGTATTTGACTGAGTTTTCGGAGTTAGTGTAAAAAATAATAAAAATAAGATAATTTGCACATTCTAAATAAAATGAAAAAACAATTATTATCTATTACAACATAAAAACACTGAAAAGTGAGCTCGTATCCACGTGCGTCGATGGACAGTCCTTATTCCGTCAGTTCTGAAGTTTTTCTTCCCTCGAGATCAATTACCTCAACAGTAAATGCTGAGATGTATTCTTTCTGGAAAAACTGATAAAAAGAATGCATCTGTATTCCAGATATCAACTTCCTTTCTTTGTCCAGCATGTCACCTCATGGTCTCTATTCCCTGACAGCATTGGTCAGCTATCAGATTCAGTTGACAAATCCGCCCAGCAAAGAATATTTCATTTCTAAGTTTGGGCTCAAGATTACACTCAAATATTCTTGCGGGCAGAAGACATCATCCAACAACAACAACATAAAAACAGATAGACTGAGATGGCTGGAACAAAAAAAATATTAGGCACCTTGAACCACGTACTGCCGCTATAGTATTGCGGAAACTAAGTGATCAATAGTTTAGAAAAATAATTATATCACTATAAATGGTATACCTGCATACCACAGTAGTTTATTATTATTTTGTTTTAGTGTTTGTTTGTTGTAAAGCACCAAACCACACAACGTGCTATTTTACTTTGCCAATCGCGGGAATCGAACCTCGATTTTTAACATTAGATGTTTATTATTCTTGCTTTTCACCTTGTTTCTCGAAGCCCTTAGGAACGTTTTTTTTGTTTTTTTTATATATATATCTCACATCCGGCTAAACCTTGTATATCACTATCTCAAACTTTCTTCTGAACTTATGTTAGAAATTTCATTCGTTATTTTTTAACTTCAGGTCTTTCAAAATCTTCACCATATTCTATGAGTACAACGCACTCTATAAAGGTATACACATTATGATTATAAGGTATAACAGGTATTTATTTTGAAATATGTAACGCATTCTTTTTCAGTTTTTCTTCAAACGTTGTGTGGAGGTTGCTATGTATTTGACAAATCAAGGATATGGAGGTTTTTCATGGGACTTCGGCCAGTGGCTTTGTTCTACAAGCCAGAAACTGTAGAGGTACGTTATATAGGTATCAGTAGTATATAAAAATATCGCTCTTATATCCTGTATGAAAATTTGATTTGGATGTCTAAGAATTGAAACTAGGGGCGTGTATTGGCAATAATACATTTTAGCGTTAGTAGAATCTGTAATTAATTTCAGTTTTAGAAGGTTGGAGATTACACCTCTTACCTAGAGTAGGTGAACGTGGGGGAAGGGAGAGAAGATGAGAAAATAGAAGAAAAAAACTGATGAAATTAATGTTTACAATTAACTGAATTGTATTTTTATGATTGGGTTTTATGTATTTTCATTTTGTATTCCAGGCCATTCTGAGCAGTAATGTCAACGTGGAGAAGTCTTTCGACTACTCTTTTATCCATCCATGGTTAAAGGAAGGACTGGTTACCAGGCAAGTAGAAAACTGAGGCTCAGCTTTTGCTAAGTGACTGATTATTTAATAAGATTTATTGCTCAGTCTCGATACTTTTTTTTTATTTTCACAAAGGAAAACTACGATAGGAAAAACATATATACATTAAGTTGAAACTATAGGAAATAATTTTTTACTTATTTTGAAGACAGTGCGGATGATCAAGGAAAATATTGTTAAGAGATTGGTAAATTATCAGTTTATGACGATATGCATGGTTACAAAAAAGTTTGACTAAAAGTCGCGTAAGCAATTGAACGGAGAGATCCGTATAAGAGAATTTAAGGAAAGTGTTTGTACTTCTACTGTCTTGTACGTTTTTTATATTTTTACATTTGAGTTGTTCTAAAAATTAACATACATATACAACCTATAATCATATAAGCCATAAAATTGGTTTGTTGGTTGTTTGTTTTAGAGCAGAGCCACATTGAATTATCTGCTGTGTCGACCTCGGAGAATCGAACCCCGAATTCTAGTGTTGTAAGCCTATAAACTTACCACTGTCACACCGGGGAACTAATCCATGATGGATCTATTAAAAGTACTTCTTCTTTATCGATGAGGTCTGGCATGGCCAGGTGGTTAGGGCGCTCGACTCGTAATCTGAGGGTCGCGAATTCGAATCTGCGTCCCACCAAACATGCTCGCGTTTTCAGCCGTTGAGGCGTTAAAATGTGGTTATTCGTTGGTAAAAGAGTAGCCCAAGAGTTGGCGGTGGATGGTGATGACTAGCTGCCTTCCCTCTAGTCTTTCCCTGCTAAATTAGGGACGACTAGCGCAGATAGCCCTCGTGTAGCTTCGCGCGAAATTCAAAACAAACCAAACTTTATCGATGTTAAAAGGGAAAAATTAACCTAATCAGCGTTGAGAAGTTTGTACGTTATAATGAAATTGTTTCTTGCTTGTATAGTGGTGGGGCTAAATGGAAGAGCCGAAGGAAGCTTCTTACGCCAGCTTTCCACTTTCGAATCCTTGAAGACTTCATTCCAGTTTTTGACGAGCAGTCCAAAATAATGGTGAGCAAGATGAGGGAAAAAATTGATGATGAATATATGGATATTGTTCCTATATCAACCCTCTGTACCTTGGACATCATATGTGGTAAGTTCTTTGTAATAGCCATTATTTATTACGCGATCTCTATGGAACTCTATGCAAACATGAAAGTAACCCTAAAATCGCTTGTCCAATAAAACTAGAAATTTCAAGACTTAGAATTTCAGTGTTAAAGGTAAACCATCTATTAAAGATCGTTTGAGTGCAAGATACATATTTGCTAAGATCGTGAGAAAGCGTTAAATGGAGGAGGCTTTGGCTCTTACAGAACTCGTAGGTCCTCATCTGTACCCTTGATAGGAATTTCTACTCTATGAATATAACATAACATAGTATCCATGTATAATGATTTGTAAATCAAATGAAGTTTCTATTAATAGTAAACCCTAGTCTCGTTATAAAGCTCGCAATATTTTCATCTAAAATGTTTAATTTCTTTTTGACTAAATTTTATTCATTGGCCTATAGCAATGTATAATAGTAACATTTTTTTAGCGTGATGAGAAGTATGCTTTTAAACAAGTTAGTTTTTATTTAGTTATCCTTCTTATTCGATAGATTAGAACTAGAAGGTGTTTATATGTCATAAAATTTTCTATTCGTTTTTTATATAACCAGTGAATTAAGTAGAGGTAAATTATACTTACTCTTATTACATAATTTATAATGTAAGCATCGATTTAAGATTGCCACACCATTTATGAAATTTTTTGCCTCTGATTTTTAGTTGTCAAATTTAATTCACTTTTAACTTTTTATTTTTTGTTGAAACAGAATAAATTTTTTTTGAATTAATTTTTGCATACCAATACGTTTATTTTGTGTATGCGTGTTTTATTTGTCTTTAGCATCCGTTATTATATATTCTATGTTGGTCCGATTGATGATTATCGACCGGAGGTGACCTAGTTGTTAGTGTACCGGGCTGCGTATCGGAAAGCACAAGATTTAGGCTGCAATGTATCGCTAAACACTTTCAATTGTGGGGGCTTTATGACTGTGACAATGAATACCATCATTCACTTTTTAGTAGCCATGCAATAAGTATCAGACATTGGTGACTGGTTTGCCTTTTCTCTGGTTAGCTATGCCTGAGCCTTAGCATTCTTTGACCTGGCGATTTATCCTAGTGTCACATAAGGTGCCATCAGGTTTAAAACATCGATACCTTTTACTGCATTAACTTTCAAGCCAGAAACTAACTACTGATAAAGAGTATAATGTATATTAAGCCGTAACAATGAAAACTACTTAACATATAAATAAGTAGTATTCTTGATAAATATTAATATCCTTGCATGATTACTTGTAAATGTATCTTTTTCCACTATAAGAAGCGCTGAACGATGGCGTATCTTAATCATTTATAGCCAATCAGTTTATGAGATGAAACTTTTTTAGATGGTCATATTTGACAGTTTCTGTCTAACTTCACAGTCTTTTTCTACTTATATGATTACATATTTGATTATAGTATTGTATGCGTGTTTGTATGTAAAAATACATCCAACATCAAAGGTATCAATTCTTAAAATATTTTCTTTTCAGGGGTAAACTTTTTCACAATTAAAAGCGTAAAATCCTATGAGTTTACGAATATATTACACCAATTTTTCTAAAGAAAGATGAAAGAAATAACTATGTGGGATTGCAATTTTCATCATGAACGAGCATATGAGTATATCTGCTAAACGGCAGGCCAGTAGCCCCTAAGGTTCAAGTATAGCTGTCACTAATTTTGAACTACTGACCAGAAGTAAGACGGCCAGTCACCATCACCTGCCACTACAAAGGCTTTGTCTGGCCTTTTCAACCGAATAACGCGGTTGACTGTTATATTTATAACACTCTCACAGATGAATGTGCCGAGCGTATTCGATGGTACGAATCTTACACCCGTGGAATCGCGAGCCGGCACACGAACCATTAGGCCACGCATGGCCCGAAGTTACAAGGCACCTGTTAATTAAATAGCAAAATAACTAAATGTTTTTTTATATATTTAATAGCAACTGATTGTTTTGTTGAAGTGTTTCAATTTTTTTTCTTATTGTATAACACTTCAGAGACGGCCATGGGAATTCATCTTGGATCACAGGAAAATAAGGAATCAGATTACGTAAAATCAATGCACAAGTAAGTGCATCAAATAAATGTATAAAGAGAGAAGGAAAAGGATTAGTCTGAATGATACTTTATGTATAATCTGTGTCTGCTATATGATAACTGTAAAATAAAACGTTCTTTAAGGTAGAATATTAATATATCTTTTATCAATGAATCAAAGCATTATGATCAGCATTAACTTATGATTCTTATAGAGAAATATTTGAGTGGAAAATACGAACAGCACAGTGTAAGTGGAAGAGAATTTCCACATCTTTCTTATAGTAAACATCTCATTATCAATAAATAAAAATATTTATTTGTGTCTTAAACCCGGTAATTCACGACTCACTTCAACGAGGGTTTTAATGTTAAACTAAGGATGAAATTATATATGATATGTTTTCCACTTCTGGTTTAGTTACTGCAAAGAAAATGATGCTAGTGTGTTTTGGGTTCGAAAACTTAATAAGCTAAAGTTGTTTTAGTTGAAAAATTGTTTCTTTGAATTTATGGAGAATCTGGATGAAAAGTTTCGCTTTACAAAATTAAGTGAACCTGAAAAGCCTTTAATTTTAGTCTTTTTTAGGCCCCTGGGCAACACACCTTCTACTTTTGCTATCGATAAAAAAACGGTCACGTTAACAACAACCAAAGACCAGTGTTTAATGGACCAAAATATTGATCAAATAATGTTAATTATGATGAACGTTAACACAGTTAAAATCCTTAAATCATGAGTTAACCCTAAAAGAGATGCAACCGTGGACCTAATGACATAGAAAAATTTGTTGGGCCTAATTTGTAACAACAATAATTAATTATCTAAGCCTAACTCAAAAGTTTCAACTCCTTGAATGTTTTATTTTCGGCAATAAAATTATTCTACCATTGAAAGTGGGAAAAAATCTTTGATTTCACTATTATGTTACACACATTTTTCCAAACACTGATAGAACTCTTTGAAGTGTAATCTCACTCAACTTGTGTATTATTCTTGAGATAGTTTGTTTGTTTGTTTGTTTG